AAACGTTTCTAAAAGTTCCTTGCGCTAGATTGGGTGTGTCTGTGAATGACGAAGGCCAAGTACGGTGTCGTAAACAGACTCCTGTTGTGACAGTGAATAGTCCACTTTTAACGTTGCCGATAACGTCGAGAGACTTGGCGCTCGCTATAGCCAGCAGGACGATATGAGCCTGCCGGTAAGAATGGTAAAAGACACTTGAAAAACACCCGGAAGAAGGCACTGTGGCGAGATGGTTACCGTCTAGTGGTAAGAGATAAACACTGTCTACGCTGAGGTGCTCCAAAGGAACCTGAAAAACGGCGTAATTCACTGTAATCAGGCGGACAGGTTTAGCTTCCTTACGAAGAATCTCATGAGAACTCTCTTGAAAGATTCTGAGAGCACAAGAGTTATAGTATTTTTTAATTCTAGGTACTTGGTGTTCTTTGCCCTAAAAGCTATGATTTTCGCCTTTTTACTTCATTGTAGAGATGTAAAAAGCACAACCATTTCCGTGTTTAATTAGATGTTGTATGTCCCAGCTATCTGATGTTCTATGGTGTGACCAAAAGAGTTCTGCAAAAGAGAAACCGCAGAGGATCAACTTGCTATCCGGAACAATGATAATTTATGTCCACTCTTTACAAAGCCAAATACCAGGATACCAGGCAATTCAAATCAGTGAGTTGATACAAATCGACACAACTAACTCAACTTTGCAAACCGTCCATATGCTTCATGCTGGATATGCATCTGTTTGCAATGCGAGTTAGGCAGGTGTTGTGAGTGGATGCCATCCTAAAAGACTAACTGAGAGAAATAGTGAGTTAGGACGCTAGGTTCCTAAGAACATTTCATACTCCAGGTACGTTACTTCCATGCTAGGTAACGACCGATGAGTACTATGCTGACATACATGCTAACTTAAACACAAACGTACCGAAGAAAATGAAAGCTCCGCAGCTGGAGTTTTATACAGTGTCCCCATCTGATAAAACTGCATACAAAAATACCACAGTAACTGCCGTTTTATTATGGTTTCCTTTTTATAATCCGCACAAGACAATTGTGATAGAAAACACGGGACTTTTCAGAACTTCGTTCGGACTAGAGTGATAACCTAAGTGTCACAGAAACAAAGTTGTTCTGTGCTTTGCCAGACCACCCTTAGTTTTGTTTTGACGATGAGATTTTTCGTGATCAGTTACTTTCAAGATGAGCTGATATTCTGCAGAAGAATTTGCAATGCAGTTCACCCGAGTTCCATCCTACACAAACCAACATATTCTTCTCTGATTTAGGTGAAAGTATGCACCAGTCCACTACAGCTGATAGCAAATAACGACTGGGTGTCCACGTGTGAGCTGATAAATAGATCTTGTGATAAAGGTAGTAACAAAAGAGTCGAGTCTAGTTGATGATCCCGAGAACCTTTGTCCACTGAAACGGTGTGCAAAACAAAGTACAACCAAAGGCAGATATAAAACGACGTTTATTGCAACCACATTCGTAGGAATGGATGAATCTTTCAACAGAGCTTGTTTGCTGGAACACAATCGGTGAGTCTGCCCAGTTGGTTCGAGCTAATAAGTTGTTTTTGGGGTGATACCTGCTTTTTTAAGCAGTGGTTTCAAATAGCTATGAGGTGCTTCAACTGGAAAAATTGGATGTATTCTCCAAGCTGGCACAACGTAGATGTAGTGCACGGTAAACATGCTGTCTTGACTGTATATTTAGCACAAAATGTATCAGACCTGATCAGAGCACCTCGTTCTTCATGAATTTTACGCTCCCTCTGCACATGGGGCGCTCACATCTTGAAAAAATGTCTTGAAATGGAAACACTTGATAACTGCTTCGGAACTGATCCTCAGGCAGATGAAGTAGTATGATGTGTAAAACAAGAGTGTCAGGCGATCTCATCACCAATTCTAACTAAATTATTTGGCGTCCTTGACATTTCAACTATATTTCATTTCACAATTACAAGGGTAGTTATTTAAACTGTAGCTTCTTACAATTTGTAATCGGGTGTGTTGGAGATTTCCCTTTAAAGTTATTACAAACATTTATGACTACCGTATAAATTACACTGATGCTATCGGCAGGTCTGTTTCCGTGCATATAACCCGCGCATAAGAAGACTGGTGTGTATTTGGACATTGTGCAATTTGATCACTGGTTCCTCGGTGACTGGGTCAATTCCGACGCATTGCAATTTCACGATATTTAAAGGACAGAGTGCCGCTTTCTCGAAAATTTCTTCCTGTGCCTAAAACATAACACATTAATGAATGTTAGTACCACCGGATAACAGCCTTCTGTTTTAATTCTTGTGTATCACACTTTTTAATTAGAACGCAGTTCAGTTAATCACCTACCCTGAAGAGGTTGACTTACAAGCATTTGCCACCTGTTCATCAGGCGACGACAATTTCGGTGCTTATCGAGTTGGCACTGAGCGGCGGGAATAACATCTGTAAGAGTGCGACCATTATTCTTCGAAGAAGGAGGGTAATGCGCGTTGATCTCACTTTAATGTCCCACTGTCAGACTATTCAACAAACCTGAGTCACAATCGGATATTGACTGGCTTCTCAAGTGGTGGTCAAATTTTGGAAGGGGTAATTACAATACCTATGCTTTCAAGATGATCAATCTTAATAATGTGATTCAAGTTCGATTAAATAGAACGTATACTTTAGTGCGCACTGTGCATGATTTAGGATAAAGCATTCACCTCGGGAGAGACAGCCGCAATGCCAGGAAACAACGGGATAGATTTTACGAGGATATTTCGCACCGTACGATTTAAACTATTGTTTTCTCCTTGGTTCAGACACTTATAATCTTGGTGGTTAACGCTTATCCAAATCTGGGTTGTGCGGAATCGTGTGTATTATCCGACAGAAATTCTGACTTTGAACTTGTGCATAGTTGTTCCCGATTTGAGGACATAAAATTACGGCGTCACAAGTGTGTCAGGGACCTATAAATCATTCGAGTTGTTAGAGTAACTAGACATAGTTTGCAGTACGTACCTGTAGTTCACATTATTGAAACTGAAATCCTTGATCTCATTCGCTCTTCGGAGACAAGATCTATGGATAGAACTTGCGAGATTCTTGCATCCCACATTTCGGCTTGATTAAGTGTATAAATTCATACATAGCGTCAATTTTAAAGATCAGGTTGACTGCAATGGTGCTGCTAAATGCAGGATTTAGTGAGCAGTGTGCTGAGGCCCATAACAGGTAAGAGCAGGAAATTTTTTTTGGGAAATTGTGTTGAAGGTGTGATTTCATCAACTATGACTTTATTATGCATTTCAATGGATGATCGTTTGCGCTGGGGAAACTGTGAAAATAGACACGGTCATATTTGGTTGGCGGCGGCGGAAGTTGGTTTAGGGATGTATGTTGCGAATATTTCCGGGACAGCAGGTGGCGGTTGTTTCCATCCAAAGTGATTGGTTACTTAAAAATGAAAACTGGTGCAGGTTCAATTTTTTTTCCAATTTTTCCGTCAAGTTTACCAACGCTACCCTGTGTGCCATAACCCCCCCAGCTGAGCACGACCTTCTGCTCACCAGCAATTTATAATTGTTTTTATTGTAAGGCTAAGCAAATGTAAGCGAACGAACACCATGTCAAATAATTTTGTGTTGCTATTCTGTTTGGGTTCCAAGCATCAATCTTACATACGTCGGTGATCCTGTTTTGAAACGTCAGGAAAAAGAGGCAGAGGTAATTTGGAAAATGATCAAATTTTTAGACAGAGCAATTATGACGTGTGAGATCTCAAGTAACTGAGGTTCCACAGGCCGTAATATATTTGAAGTCAACTACCCTCCGAACAACCAAATCCATTTCCGAGCGGGGCACCTCATTCCTGTTAATGAATACTGATACGAAGGCCTGCTGAGGGATAAACACATTCATTGGGATTCAGAATCTTTTGAGAATATTAGTACACAAACACACAGAGGTCTAACGCCAACCGCTTGTGAACCTGAATATGATCACTTAGTGAGACAAAAAACAACACTTTATAGATCCTATTAAACGCCAAACTTTTGACATGGTCAACTTTTTTCTGCAGCAGTCTTAGTAGCTACACAGAAACCCGATATCTGGTGAGATCTTTGAATTTCCAGCCTTTGGGTAGTTCACTGTTCGCCAACTTCCGTAACGGGGTAAATACAGAAGGCCAAATTACTGTGGAATTAGTGTTTATATTGGTCTACTGGATTTCCTAAGAATGGTAACCGAAGGAGATATATGCCTGACAACCCTGACAATGTTGTCTGTAAGGCCTGCAACCTTCGAAAAAAGATGCACTGGAAATAGCAGGATTCAATTCATCAGACTATCTTACAATCACTGGCGGGGTGCTAGGTCATTTCACAGTTAAGTTAGTTTTTTTCAGACATGGGGTAAGAAACCAGCCCATCCAGTATATGACCACAATTTCATTGATCAAAACCATCGGAATAAAGGCCTGTTTCAGTCTTGGTTGTTTGAGCCAGATGCTTAACATTATAAAACCTGATAATTATTAGTATTAGTATTAAATCGACCATATAACTTCAAATAGTAAACACATACCATAATTGTGGGTCAGGTCGCGAGGGTGAGTACAAAGATGTGCATGGTGTTTGTTTAGCGTAACTTGGGTTCTTCGTGTGTTCCCTCATCAGGTATGGACAGTTGGCATCTGGTGGAAGTGAGTTTGTGAAGCCACTCTTGTGACTCTTTGCCGGCTATGACAACTTGAAAATAGCTTGTTTACTACCACCAGATCGTAGGGAAATTTGTTTGAGAAAAATAATGTTTTTTTTAAACCCATCTCCACAAACATTCTATGGTGTGTTTTTAGTTGGAAGGATAAACTGTTCCAAAGTTTTTTGTGCTTAGATGGAGGAGCACCCCAAATACATTTTTGTCCCTCTAAATCCCGCGGAATACCTTCGTAAAAGCCTTTCTCACTAAATTTGCATTCAATTTTCCTCGGTACAACAGGCTGCGAGAAAAACATGGTTGCCCTCCACTTACTTTGGATAGCAAGCTGACAAAGGACGCTCAGGAATATGCCGAATTCTTAGCCAAAGTGGAGTGTTTCGTTCATTCTAAAGGAGATCACGGAGAGAATATGAGCCTGAGGGTGGGGTTTGGAAAATTGAACATTACAGGTAATTATTGTGAATTTATTGTTTACTTATTGTGTTTTTAAACGCATGAATTCGTTTAAACCATTTAAAGTTACTTTAATCCATAACAGGAAAAATGCTTCGCACGTTACCCTAAAGCACTTGCAGGTTGCTCACTACACAAAAAATTGGAAACGCTCTTTCTACACACGTAACACACTACTCATAAGGTCGCTGGAAACGCTTCAACAGTCCACGGCCAGTTTCATTCTTTCTGAGGCTTATCAGGCAGTCACAGTCCTTGACTTTTAGAAGCCTTGTGAGTATTGTATTACGTCTGTACAGTGTATTGCAAAATCTCGAACATCGTAAGACTGAGAGTTCACGCAGTCTGGTGCAGCACATTCAGTTGATTAGGTAGATCACGAATGAAGGATTCCGCTGTTTTCTAACTGATACGCAGATAAGTGTATGAGTCGATCGCCGTTTCTATTAATTCTGAGTAAGTCTCTGCTCAGTTCTCATTGCTAGATATGTGACGAAGAAATGTACCAGGTGAAGCTACAGAAATCTTAAATAATTACTTTTCCATTATATCTATACTATGGACTGTGATATTCTGCGGAAGTCTGGGCATGTGCGTATGAACATATCTGTCAGTTTATTCTGTTTCGTACATTCCGCCCAATCGCGGAATTTGCAAGATAGCGTAAAGTTATCTATTACTGGCGAAAAATGAGAGAACAAAGAGAAAATGACTATTCCACAGTCACTTAGCAGATAAAACCTGGACAACTTTAAAATTACTCCAAGCTTTTCCCGGTTTATTATTTGAGTGACAGTGAGCTATGTTTCGATGTGGTTTGCATTCTGTTTGGTACGCGATGTCTCGACTGCAGAGGGTAAGCAGAATGACATCCACCCTCAATTACATTTGTCCCGGAGTACTGTCCATGCTGATCAGAAAAATGGTGCTTCCATTTCAAAGATAGAGGTGGTTACAAGCTAATCTGTGTAATTTAACCATTTTTTTTCACTCGATATAAGCTTACATTAGTCAATAACTGATGAGCTGTATCAAACTGGTGTACGGGAACTCCTGCAGACTACCTTAAATCTGTTGCTGAGGCCCACCATTACGAAACTCGGTATCAACTGAACCATAATTCGACAGATATTCTTTCGCTAGAACTTATCATGGTTACAGCAGTGCGTTTATTAACGGTAACAGCATGTGTTTCTCAGCGATTACTGCTATGAACTACTGTATCGATCAAGAGAACCAGAAGGTCTGTGATCTCATCGGTCGGTCTAAACAGAAAGCATACACACCCAATGATTACAAGCGAGCAGATCGTAGGACAGACTTTAAGAAATCACGGAAGTTGCATGTCACGTACATAGGCGGCGTCATAATTTTTATTGTTTAGTTATGTGAGCATGTCAAATGTTGGTATCGGCACCATTATCTCCACACTGGACCGATGCGTTCCGCACTTACATCGAGAGGCAGTTCATCCCGTAGGGTGTCCAGTCCATCTGAAATAGGTTTTGAGCTAAGCCATAATTAAACTGATCAAGACTGCAATGTTCCGACGTGTAGTTGAACCGTGCTTTAGCAATAACTGCAATTACTGTTGCAATAAAACGTCAAATACGTTACAAACAGAGCTTGGGATCATATGGGTGATGATTTCGCTTCAGAAGTAATGTATCCAAAGCAAAAACCCGAACGGCGTGCGCGTAGTTTTTACTTTACTGAACGAGGTGCAAAAGCTGTAGCAAGTGTCGTCTGTGATCTCCACGGTTGGCTAAAGAGTCGCTGCTAACTGAGATCAATGGACGGCACTGCAAACTAAGCCATTCCAATTCACATCACATTATCCCATGACTCGCCCATTCTAAGTAAACAACAGTCGGCCATGCAGTATTCTAGTTTCACCTAATGAGTTTTCTCAGCCAAATAGTGTACCACTCTGCTGTGTACTGTTCTGCTGGACGCTAAAACATATATTCCCGCCCCTCGTGGTATCAAACATTTGGGAAATTTCTGAGGAAGTATCCTTGGCTACCGCTTTATTTAACAAACTTCAAGATTTATTATTGTAAGGAAAACCGATTACAGAGTTATGGATTTTTTCATGGTGGTAAAACGAACAGTTAATTGTGAATTTTTTGTCCCTATCTTCAGTGTTCAGATCCACTTTACAACAGTTATGTTTTGAAAACCTTAAACATGTCAAGCATCCTTCCATGAGGCGGATTGAAATGATTCTGTGACATTAGATGAGAAATAGGAGGGTGGTAAATTGGACGTATAATGAAATCTGTTATCCTGTTGCACGCAGTCTTGCTAAGTAACGTTTTTCTTGTGCATCGATCAATGTGGTTTATTGCTTACGTGTTTGGCTCAGTGAAAGTTGTCCACGGGTGAATTAAACTCAGGAGCATTTGCACCTATTTGGAAATGAACATTTTGCAGCATTTCATTTACAGTGCTATTACGAGAAGTCCAAAATTCCCCGTTTTTATTCAAGACGCAACAAGTCACATCAGCTTGACAAATTTCTTGCGAGCTCTTTCAGCACCCTCTAAAACACCCATTCCATCATAGGTGTCTTTAAAATCACCTCGTTTCGCTGCTAAAGGTGTGAAAGTCCTAGCAAACCACGAACCGCTTACCTGCAGCTGCCTATATTTCAGTTCCATTTTGAACGTTTCACTGGCAACGCCCTAAAAGTTATGCTTGAATGTATCATGCACAGTAAGTAAACATATGTGAAAATACTGTTTGATTTGTATCCGAATCTATACACATACGCACACCATCAATGAGGTGGCGCTCAGCCAACTGATGTAAAACAATGAATCTATAAAATCGCCAGTTGCGACGCCAAAATGTGCGCAACTTACTTATTGGGTTTGATTTACTACTGTGGATGAATCAGCCAAGATAAAGTGGACCAAATTTATTTTTGTGTTTCCAAAATCAGGGTCGTTATTATCTTGCGAATAGAAAATTTCGGTGCCGGTGAAGTAGGTTTAGTGGGAAACCTTGAAGTGTCTGTGGGTACTTGGTAACGGTGCGTTGTGGAGCACAAAATGTACTTTGCGCTGCATAAAGATATTTCCAGGAAATCTTACTCGATGTACCATCAATGAATCAGGTTGTTGCGAATGACCATCGGTCTAGGCGGTGGGTTACCCATGTGGTTGTCTAGAGCAACATTAGCAGCTCGAATGCTACAGTTTTCCCTGTGCCACTCAGAACTTCATATACCATTTCCAGGACGCTATTAACGACAACCACCCAAGTGTACGGCATTGAAGCACCGGTGTTGAACACTCATGTTGATGATGGTGACGATGATGATCCACCAAATGAGACTGGGTGCTGTTTGGTGCTCCTATTCCGCATTGAAAGTGACCACTACTGCACACCAAAGCGCCGCCAAACAGTTGTGTTTTATTTGAAAAATTCTACTTATATGTAGTTCACAAATGTCTTTTAGTTTCTCATTGGTAATAATAGTGTTAACCACTCTGCATGGATCGTCTTCAATAGTCGGACAGTGAAGTAAAACCAGTACGATCCCAGTGAAGATATCCCCTCTTTTATGGAGAATGGAGATAAGAATGGAGAAAAAGACGGCTCAGTGGACGTTGAACGAACATGTCAGACTAGTTATGCCTTAAAATTGTTGGTTTTCAGAGCCTTCCGTTATAAGTTGGCTCTAAAAAAGTCCGGCGTCCAATTATCTATGGTTCAATGGACGTGCACAAGTATGAGTCTGATGGCAATTTGCTGTTGTAGGAATTGGGTATCTGTACAGTCCTATGCCGTGACAATCGTCACCTCATTTAACCGCTGTTGCTTCTACAACATGAGCACAAAAATTCACAAAAATGAAAATTTTTCAGCTAGTTAGTTTACTTCTAGCTGTTTCCCTGCGAACTACTACATCGGAGAGCTGATCAATGATTGCTCATGTAAGAAACCCTTGCAGATTTTACCCAAATATGGCCCGTCATACCTCTGTTGAAGGAATTCTTTGGATGAGGTTGAATGGTTCTTGCCTCCAATGTGAACTTTTGTGCCATTTGGATCTCTTCAAGTAGCTGTTATGTTGGTTAGTTTAAACAAAAACGTATCTTTCAGAAAATCTGCTTCCTTCAGGTAAACAGGTTGCTGAGCCGAATTCTGATGCGATGTCGCACATCAAACCTCTCATTCTTTGTTTACCTATGTGTAAAATAGTGTTTTTATTGAAACCAATTTAGGCAGCGGGAACAAAGATAGAATTATCTAAAACGGTAGTAGTAGAAAAGCTTTGCCATCATAGTCATCAAATTACTCAAAAGAATCTGTTGTACTGGCGGTTGAAGTAGTTTTTTCGGTCTGGACATGAATACGCTTCCAGGAGTTTAGAGGGCGCAATTAACCGTCATTTTGTTTACTGACAACCATTGAAGAACGGTAAGCCACGCTTTATAAGCATAACATTTTTTATGCCGTTTCCGTTGGCAGCTGACCGTTTCTAACTAGGATTGTCTAGCTTGGCAAACAAAAAACAACCACCTGAAAAGTCTACCTGAGTCTACTTAAGGTGTTTGTTGGTCGGGTGTTCCACTGAATAGGCAACCGGCGGCTATTGTAAAGGGTTAAAACCAAGCTTTTTGAATAAGCGATTGAAATGACGGTTGATGGAGAGTGTAACAGTGGCCCGTCAAGGGGAATTAATATTCTTCTCAGGGTAAACCGGAGATGGCTCAGTGGCCAAGACGCAAACTTACTGGAAAAACATGCCTCGAAGGAACTCTCTGAATTCTGACTGCTCTTTTCTCGGCTTGGACAACTTGGTACTGTCCCGGCCCCCATGATCCCTCAGGGGTGTGAGACAACTGGACCCCAAAGAAGTGTTTTAGCCGAAATATTCCATTTTTTGGAGGATTTCACTTCAAACGGGATTAACGAATACTGCTCAATGTTTTTTAAATAAAACTTGTACTCCATCAATAATGATGTGCGAAACTGCGTGAAGTAAAACAGCAAAAACCTTACGATTTTTTTTCCAGGAGAAGAAGTTACAAACTTGTGGTACAGTGAAATTGAAAATTATAAATACGAGGATAACGTCCAAATGGAGTGTGGTAAGTTGACTGTTAAGAGAATAATTAAATTTTGATGCATAATTTCGGTCTAGATGAGATGAGGCACAATAATTAGCTTCTCAAAAATCTAATCCACGAGCTTTCAAATAAAGACGCGGTATGTGTTTCACTAGGTGATTTCCGGTCTGCATTCTATCGTCCATTTTTGGCCTACCAAACATTTCGCTGATTGGAACGCACTTGCGAAAAAAATTCCACTGGGTTATCATGACTGGAGAGCTTTTATTTGGCCACTTCGCAGAATTGCGTGCAAGAGGTCACTCCCGTCGTATTTGTCAGGTATTCAGTTAGGCAAAATAATGCCAAATGCTAAAAACTGATGCAGTGGTCACGTTGTGCCGTTAAAAACATTTAATGAGCACTAGAATTTAGACGGTAAAGCAAACATTTCAGTGTGATCTAGGTAAAATTTGGAACTCTTTTACAATCCTTCGATGCTAAAAAGTTGCAAAATCAAGGAAATTGATCGGAAGCAAGTGTGTCGCATATATGGCACATAGATACATGTATATATGCATGGCGAGAAATCGAGAAGAATCGCCGAACAAATTTCACGCAGTGAGCACATAAATTTACGATTGTTTTACATATTAACTTATGAATTGGTTTGTACTGAAAAATGTTTGTAAATGTTTAAAGAAGTTAGTACCAAACGTGCAACACAGCAAAGTTTCTTCTGGCAGGCCGTGAGACTTTTTATTGTTTTTCTCTTTCGTTTGCTTAGGTCACTTCACACAAGTGGTCTGGAAGGATACAAAAAAAGCGGGCTTCGGTCGAGCTTACACGAAAGACGGTAGAAAAATCTACGTGGTCGGGAGGTATTATCCACCGGGGAACTATCAAGGCTGTTGTAAACTGAACGTACCACGTCCCATTAGTTGAGAGATTTATGGTCCAACAACTCATCCCTGTTTTCTGAAACAAAATTTTGTCTTTCTGGTTGCTGTTCTCAGCCGTCAAATCTTTAGTGATCATTCAAAATCATTTGTTTTGTGACCACACCCGTTATTAGGAAGGTAATATTTCCAAATCTTGAGGAATATGCGTCAAAGTTCTCTCTGGTCTAGCCTGGAAACTTAAGCCTAGTGTAATATTGTGTAGGCCACTGAGGCCTAAAAACCTGTAACTCGCAGGAGATAAAACATATAAGTTTCCTGGTTGCGGTATTTCTATTTATACTTCAAAGAGTGCTGGATGAAGTAAACCAGTCCATCTGTAGATTAAATTCATGTGGAAGGCCACCATGGAGTTCAACCCTAATTCCTCAGTATTGTGTTCAGCAAAAGAAAATGCTTTTTTAATAGTTGTTAATAGTGTTAATAAGGTTTTAATAATGTTGAAAAGTGCGATATACCTGGGCAAGTTATCCGGAATATTATGGAGTGAAAGAAATTCTGGCGTTTCGCACGGCAGTTTGAAATTTTTATTAAACACATTTGACAGAAACTGCTGAGTGCTGAGGATATCAGCATTTACTCTTGATCTGTAGTTGGAACTGAGAAGTCTTTCTGGTAATGCAAGCTCTCCACCACCTCACCTAGGAAAGACATGTATGCTTTGTTGTAAAGAGCTTTGCCACCCGCTACAGTTTCGAACCAATTCTCCTTGAAATGCAAGCCGGTCAGCCATTTATTTCATGGCTGGTTACGTGGCTAGAAAGAACCTATGAAGCTGTAGCTTTGTTTTAGTTGGTAATCTTTGATCATTGTAGTGGTCTACCACGCTTTATGACAATTCTGCGTAGATCTATGTGGACTTTCAATTCAGTATACATCATCTAATGCCTCACCAGGCAAAATAACGAAAGTAATGTATGCCGTGATCAAAGTACGTCACTAAGTGGGCTATTTATGAACTCCGAGGTATTTCAAACTTCCTAACGAGTTTAATACGGAAACGGCCAATTCAGAATATAGTTTTTGTTGACTTTTTATTGTTGCATCAACAGGAACAAAACCATTTGAAGAGGCTTTAGGGGTATGGTTTTCTGCAATTATTGACTTTATCGCATTTGTTCGAGTTGAGCGGCATACATTAGCCAACTAAAATGTAAAAAGATACATTCAGATTCCAGATTGTTTATGGATATTGGGAGTGGAAAATAAAGTAGATTGACGGAATACCTCATAAACGACTTCCAGAAAAATAAAAGGATTGTGTCCGCATTCTTCTCTTTGACCGATTGTTCAGAGCACCTTCCGTGCACAGTGAACATGAGCAACTTTGACATAGTGAACAAAGTGAACAAAGATGCGGTAATTTTAATGGAAAAAGGAATCCAGAAGAGCGGCGGGGGTTCATATAACTGAAATGGTGTCTGGACAAGAAACGTTTAACTGCCTGTAGGTCAGCACGAATGTGTACATGGAGTTGTTACTGGGTGACAATTGAGACTGTGAAGTAATCAAATTCTTGTGGACGGTGAGGTGTAGAGTTATATCACTGTAGAAAGGTCGAAGTTTTCTGAGTGGCTTATCTGAAAATGATGATTATATGGGATAAAACGAGCGGACGAACCCTGAGAGTAGTTGTTCGGCTGCCTGAATTGTCTCTCGCCAGTAAAAGCTCAGTCAATTATTTAGCTCCTATTAACCACCCGCACGAATTCCATTGAGAAACGGACTTTTTTCGAACAGGTGTAGAATGTTTGGTGATCATTTGTTCTGTGAATCATTCCAGCAGAAAACTGTTACCGAGGAATGTACCAGTGTAATGGTGATGCTACTGATGGAGAGGCATGTGAGTAGTATGTTTCGTTCTTGTAAATTCGCTTTGCATCTCTTGAAAAGAGAGATCTGTTGCGGAATTTGTGGAGTCGCTTTGATGCATTTGCTTGGATTTGACCAATGGATGATTTGAGTTATTGAATATCCAGGAAAGTTCAAGAAGCCGCGTTCAGGAGAAGATGGATGTTCATTTTCTGTAAATAAGATGCAAATGAGAGTTTTGCTTCCCTGTCCAATAGCCTGTAACTGGTCAGTTAGCATTTTCTAAAAAATAATTTCGAAACGAAGTCCTTCTCTCTTTTACCAGTATTTCGCCTGAAATGCTAAAAAACAACGTATGTTTTCAGTGGGCGCTGTGGACCCTGGCCTGTTCAAAACAAATAGCCATGCTGCATTCCTTTTGGTGGACAAATTAATCTTGACAGGACTGGACACCATTTTACAGAAGTGGACTCTGCGCGGCATGGAATAATTTTGCACTGCTAATGCTTTTATCATGCTGAATGTACTAGTTCCCAGTCGATCTCCGTTTTTTTTCTATAGATTACTACTCTGAAACACCAAAGAATGGATTGCTATAAAATAAAGGTGTAAACACCCTTTTACTTAAAGCTTTCCCAGACCTAACCGGCAGCACGTGTGTTCTTGAAGGGTGAATCACTCACCACAGAAATGCCACCAAATTTTGAGATTAGTTTCGACTGATTTTCCGACAACCTGAGGTTTAAGCAAGTTAATGACAGCCAGTTGTTTCTTATATTCCGCATGTTCACTTTGGAGCCCACTAATGAGAAAACAAAAACTATGATTTTCCAACGCATTGCTGATGCGTTTCCGGAAATTTGCTGGCTCATCCTGTGTGGAGTTCCAGAATTTATTCTAAGGAAACGGCTTAGTCGTCTGTAGTCAGAATTAGAAGCATTTAAAAAAAACATTATCGTTGGGTTGAAGAGTGAGCTTAAAATTTACTTTAATGTAACACAATACAGGAAACGCGTTCTTGAAGAGAAATAGTGCACCATCCGTAGAATAGATTCTTTCAGTAAAAAAAGAATAACACATTCAGTACTTCTTGAATGTTCTTTGAAGGACAGATATGCAGACAAATCCGGTGAACGATTCTAACAGTTTAGTTAGATTGTTGATTGAGTGCGCGGTCTATCTAGGAAGAAACTCAAATATGTCGGGCTAATTCACACGATTTTGTTCATATATTTAAGCAGTTTTCCAGACGAGTAAACCGAGCAACGAGTCGATGATACTACCCGTGCACGAAGGCAGTTTTCCATAACCAGGTGCATAAATGGTCCAAATGAATTATTTAAAAGTCGATAAAAGCAGAGGGCCACGAAACATTTCCATTTTCACCTCACGCTTGGTGATTAATGTTCGGGTCAGCAAGTGACAAGCATCATTTGAATAAAAATAAATATAAGTAAAACGGAATAAAAAAGGTGCGCAACCAACAAGCAGCTATCCTCTGACCGCTCCCTATTAAAACAGCGTAAAAGCACCTCAAGACCACTTTGCAAATAGAACAAACCGCATTATTCTGCCCCTATTGGCTAGTTGCCAGGTTTTCAAAGCCAAAAAACCACCTCTTTGGCTGAGGAGGGTTTTTAGTGTCCATACTAACGATATACCTACTCGTACAATGGAACACCACCTAAAATTGTGAATCGACCTGCATACCTATAACTGATACCTGAGAGTTACACCACTTTGTCCGGAGTGGATGAACAACCAGCCGATTTTCATAAACAAGGAAGAAGATAGCAGGTTGGGAGCTTTCCTTTGTTTCATTGGACAAACGAAGTTAATTAGTTCCAACAGAAATGAAGAGCTCTATAACTTTTTTTCATGAGTTTCACTCGAAATTAGCCTTCCTTGCGGTAATGCTAGTCTAAGAGACATTTAATTTAAATAGGCTGATGAAACACCCTCCAAGTGAGGAAGTTAACTATATTGTGCTAGCGTGTGTTAAATATGATACCGTCTAACGTTTGGCTGCGAACCAGGGTCAGACAGGAATCGTCATTTCAGAAGCCTAGGAGGAGAAACAAGTTCGTAAAACCACCCATTGGTCTGGCCGTAACGGGAAAGGAGAATTGGGAAAATTTAGTAATACATTTCTAGAAAGACTTGTATTCGACATGATTTGCGCAGAAGGACTGGCATGCGGAAGACCATGTTTGGGTAATTTTGTCTGGTTAGAAGTCTTAAAGTTGTTGTCTTCACACATGGTCGTATGTATTGATCAATGTCAGTGCACATAATTTGGGAAAGCGAAGCTATTCACACGATAGCTACAAACGATCTCATAGAGGACGTGGTGACTGGGAGTGGAAGTTTTTACAATATCTCACATAGGATGCTTTCTGATCAGCAAAAAAGTTGCAAAACTTATCGGCTGCACTTCCAATGATGCAAGAAATAAAGGCATAAATTTATTCAGATGACTGATAAAGTGTTAGTTGGGTAATGCGGATTACTGTATCCGAAATTGTTTTTAAACAACAAGAGAAACAAACTACTGCATACTGGTTTGCCAGGTCCTCAAATTCGCTAGGATTTTTCCATTGCTTTAAAAAATAACATTGATTTTCTCCGTCTACTCGGTAAACTAACAGAAAGACATGAGGTGGTTCTCAGTGCTTTGTATATATTTTCTGTCGGATGTTGCGTTGAGACGATGACCATTTTTTGGTTCAAACGAGCTGCTTCCTTCGGAGCATGTGATTGGTTTTAATGGTTTAAGCAAGTTTACTAAAGAGTTACTGAGTTGCAAGTGAGTAACTGAAAAAAATTATAGTTATAGACAATGATGCCTAGTGAGCTCCTCCATTGGAAGTGCCTCAAATACTAACGGGTTTGGGTTCTTATGGTCAGTTTGTTCAAACGAAACAGTGCAAAGAAGCTTGAGAATTATTTGCGCTACTTTTAGTATCTTGATGATGAGGTAATGCTATTCGGTCATCCCGAAGAGTTTTATTGCTGCACGGTTACGGGTATGAATTCTGGTTTAACACGATTGAACCTGTTGTCTACTGTTAAATGGCTACTTTGTTTTTTGTTCCAATGGAATTAGATTTTTGCGGAGGATCACCAAGCCATCGACAAACGTTTTATGGTTGCTGCCCTATCCTAAGATGTAA